TTGAAGCATTTATCAATGCTGAAAGCAGAGAAATCAGACCATAGTCCTTTAAACAACATAGCATCTTTTATTTTTTAGAGATCTGTTACTATCCAATCCTAGAAAATTTTTAATAAATATCAGGAAAAAGAAATATCAAGAAAAGAACTATTGTTGCAAGAAAGCAATAGTATAGCATTTGATTTGACAAACTTGGCAGAAGTAATCTTAAGTTAACATTTCAGCAAAAGGTCTTAAACAATTTCCAAATAATAAAATCAAATGATTACCTAAAGCTGCATTAGGAAGGATGCGGCTATCCTGCATAGCTTTTACACTTCCAAAATCAATAATTTTAATATGCTCATCAACAATAATTAGTAGCACTTTCTTTGGCTACACCATTTACAAAAATTTTAGCCCTTTTTAGATGGCAACTTTAAAAAGCATATGGTGGTAGGCAGGTACCTTAATCCTTCTGCAAGTGAAGTAGAGTCATTGTAGTAGTGGCTAGATTCACTATATTCTTTTTCTCTATTGTTCCTTTATTTTAATACTGTAAGAATAAAATTGGGAATGTACAGGCTTGAAAACATTTTTCCTTTTTTTTTTTTTACTTGGGTAATGTCTCAAGCACTGGATGAATAAACTTTTGTAGTTTGTTTCATCTAATGCAAGGAACAATAATATCAAATTGCCAATTGCAAAGTAATTATAAATTCACCAACAAATCAGAGAACCCAAATGCTACAAAACTCAATTTTGTAGAAAATATTTTAACGGATTGGAAGAAATAGAATGAAATCATATGATTCTCTTAATCAACAACGGATTTGGGGATAGAAAATATACCCGAAATCAAACCCACTCCGCTTCTCCTATTATATTTTCACTTCAAGGAATCCCCACCTTTGCATACAGGAGCTCTACTTCATTTTTCTTTCTCCAATAGCTTGGAGATATGGTCAAAAGACCAAAAAACAATCTGCTAGTGATTACCATCCAAAAAGGAGCAGATACAAAAAGTTACGCCTTGTCCTTTATCGTTTCGAAGCCCATTCTTTAGTCTCTCCAATAGCTACTGCATCGCCATCTATGAGACAGTGCTTGGCAATCGAGGACAGGACCTCTTACGTCTGTAGCAGTGATGGAGGCAATTGAAAAAATGATTAACCAAAAAATAGAGAATTTGTATTAGCCCAAAAAATGATTAAAAGTTGCAAACAAACTCACTTGGTTAATTGAATTGAGGCAAGACTTGGTTACATCAATCAAATACAATGATTGATGGATTTTCATTTTTATGTTCTAAATCAAACTGACGAATTTGAGGAAGATTTCTTTGAGAAGCTATTTAAATGCAGGATCATGAATGCATGAGTAAATCTACCATGGGAACAACTACAGAGAGTCAGTGATGGTGCTGATGACAGGGTAAAAGCCAAAACAGAGAGATTGGGGCAGTGTGAATTGTGGCGTGATCGACAGGTTTTCATTTTCATGGTTTTCAGCGGTTACTGGAACCAAAGTAGTTTCAGCCAGTTACTACTACGAAAGCCAAGCACCATGAAACGTCCAGATTGATGTCGTTTTGGGCCAGCCAAGCCCATTTAATCTTACCTTAGAAGCGCTATTAATAAAAGTAACAACGACATATTGGTC